CAGGGTCCATTGCTCCCTACTCCCTGAGCAGGGGCAATCCGTTGAAGTTTACTTCACATCAGAATATTCATTTACAGATTTGCGCTGCTCTGCTGCCTGCAGCGTCTTCACACACATACGAAACTTACTAGAGAAGCGTGAATTGGGACATAATATACCTCTGTAAATAAATACAATTTAAATTCACGTCTCGCAGACTCAAATGCCCTTTGTATGGAACATATACGCTCCCTTCAAACTGGAATCATGGAGGAATATCCGGTAATGTCCACTTCGCAGGGCACTTACAGTCAAATATAACAAACGTATGAAGCAATAAGAGAAACATACAAAATGTGCAGAGCGGGGGTACGCGAGGACTGGAATTGAGAACCGCTGTTCTAGATGTCAAAAATTTGAGGCTACAGCACAGCAGCTCTTCTTGGTTTTCTCTGATGCACTAACTCTGCAGCAGCACTTATTCATCGTCTCGTCTCATGCAGTCACTCAACCAAGCGTTCTAACCACGACCTCGCCCCTCCCCACCCATTCGAATTTCTGTAGGCGGGAAATTCTTTGTAATGAAATTCTAATGAGGTGCTTTGTGATATCACAAAGCCCCGAAACCAAACGCTGTAGTCCAAATGAGCCGTTTGCTGTAGTTCTTGAAAATGGATTTTTTAAAAACTAAATATCTCCCTTTGGAGTGGAATTTGAGATTTGTAACTTTCTAGATATTTTTTATGCCCAAACATACACACTACACACTGACTACAATTAAAAAAGTTAAAAACATAATAGGACCCCTTTAACAATAACGTTGTGTCATCCGCATATTGAAAAATGTTACTTTCTCCTCCTCGATGCCTATCCCTTTTATTCCTTCTTCGTGTTTTACAGTCAGTCCCAAAGGTTCCGCAACTAAAGAATATAAAAGAGATGACAACAGACATCCTTGTCTTATTGATCTGGTAATTTTAAAACACTGTGTTAAAAACCCATTACATTTAATTTTTGGTATTGCATCTTTATATAAGATCCTAATCCATTTCATAAAATTCTCTCCAAAACCAAAACGTTTTAAAACATCAAATAAAAAACCATGCTCCACCCTGTCAAATGCTCTCTCGAAATCTAAACTGATTATAAAACCATCTTTGTTCTTTTCATGAATGTATCTTATCCATAGACTGTATAAAACATGGACGTAGTGTCCGTGATGTCACCCGTAGGTTTCCGAAGAGCGTTTTTGAAGCCTAAAGTAAGGCGGAGCCGGCCGTCGCCATCTTGGAAGCGCGTCACCGCGCATCACTCCCGGATAATCGAAAATGGGCAAA